AGGGCAAGTGTAGAGTCTTGCATCTGAGAAATAAAAACCCTGTGTACCAGTATAGGTTGGGGACTGAGCTGTTAGAGAGTAGCGTAGGGGAAAGGGACCTGGGGATCCTTGTAGACAGCAGGATGACCAGAGGCCAGCACTGTGCCCTCGTGGCCAAGAAGGCCTGGGGTGTATTAGAAGGGGTGTGGTCAGTAGGTCGAGAGAGGTTCTCCTTCCCCTCTACTCTGCCCTGGTGAGACCACATCTGGAATAATGTGTCCAGTTCTGGGCCCCTCAGTTCAAGAAGGACAGGGAACTGCTTGAAAGAGTTCAGCGCAGAGCCACAAAGATGATGAAGGGGGTGGAACATCTCCCTTCTGATGAAAGGCTGAGGGAGCTGGGGCTCTTTAGGGCGGTGGAGTCTCCTTTTCTGGAGACATTCAAAACCTGCCTGGACACGTTCCTGTGTGATCTACTCTAGGTGGTCCTGCTCTGGCGGGGGGGTTGGACTAGATGATCTTTTGAGGTGCCTTCCAACCCCTACCATTCTGTGATTCTTTGAATATTCCTGTGATCAGTTGGGGTCGGCTGTCCTGGCTATGTCCCCTCCAAACCTTTTGTGCACCTGCAGCCTACTTGCTGGTGGGATCGTGTGGGAAGCAGAAAAGGCCTTGATGCTCTGTAAGCACTGCTGAGCAGTAACTCGGACATCTCTGTGTTATCAACACTGTGTCCAACCCCTACCATTCTGTGATTCTTTGAATATTCCTGTGATCAGTTGGGGTCGGCTGTCCTGGCTATGTCCCCTCCAAACCTTTTGTGCACCTGCAGCCTACTTGCTGGTGGGATCGTGTGGGAAGCAGAAAAGGCCTTGATGCTCTGTAAGCACTGCTGAGCAGTAACTCGGACATCTCTGTGTTATCAACACTGTGTGTATCAGAAATCCAAAACAGAGCCCCCCACCAGCTACTATGAAGAAAATTATCTCTGTCCCAGCCAAAACCAGCACATCCCTCCTCTATCATTTCATGGCTTCAGAGCCAGAAGGTTGACATTGTGCGTGTTTCTCTTATCCAGGTGGCAGAATGCAGTCTGTATGTGAACATTATCTGTACCTTGGTCTTTTGATTGTACTACAAGACCCTTCAAGAAGAATCTTCATCTATTCATGTTTATGGTCAATAATTCTGAGGGTTGGACTCTCTTGCTAGGTAACAAGCTGTGTAGGTACAGGCTATGAGACTGCTAAATGTCAGGCCAGGTCAGCTGAAGCAGCATTAGGGAGATGCTTCTGTCCTGTGTATCTTTCTGGGGCTACTTTCAGATTTTTAAGCGTGCCACTGTTGCTGCAGCCTTAAGGCATGATGTTGGTCTGTTCTTATTAATGCAAGTACTTGGGGACTGTGTTCCAGATGGTAGTCATTTGTGGAGTGTGCTGCTCAGTGTCTTTCAAATGTGAATGTGTATATGAACAGACGCATAAAGGGATGCATCAGTAACTACAGGTCCATCGTCATAAACATATACAACCCCATCTTCTCTGCTTTGCAGGATCATGACCATCTGCTTACAGTTGCATATAAATGTGCATGCTTGTGTGGGTATTGCTAAAGCAAAGGTTTCTTGGGTTTTCTGTGCCTTGCTGTATGAATGACCTCAGTGTGAAAGGTGGCATGGATGACACACTTTCAGAGCATTTGCAGCTCTTGTTTATTCTTGAACTTTCTCATTCTGAATTTGTCACCATGAACCTCAGTTTCCTCTGGCTGGCATAACTGGGATTGCAGTTAATGAAAAGGTGCTTCCTTTTTTTGTTACTTGTAAATACTTGCTCTAGGGATCAAAGATGTAATTTATTATGCCATCATAAACCTCTTCAGCTTGCATCATGTGTGAATAATGTTTTGGCAGGCAAATGTTTATAAAGAAATGTTACTTCAAGGCTTCTTACTCTCTTAGAAACGATGCCTAACAAGAACATTACTCACTTTGCTGGGGGATCCTATGTCAGTTCCAGTATAAAATTACATCATCTCTACCAAGGAATAGAAAAGGAAGGCTTAACTGTAATGTTTTTTATCCTGCTTCTCAAAGGGACTTGCTGTTTCAGAGTTCTGTGTAAATAGAAAGAATTAACTTCATCAGTCATCATGCACTGGTATATACATAGTTTGACATTTATTTGGAAACTCTTGTCTGTCCACTTATAACCATTCCTGTGGAAGTCGTGGTACGTATGTGCTCTATCAAATTGCATGTTACAACCTATCTGGTAAAATTATTATTCACTCACCATTTGTCTACATCTTTATTTTGCCTGTTGCCTTTCTAAGGGTTTCGGAAATATATAAGTAGATTAAAATACATTATTAAACTACTTTAAACATTTTCAAGAAATTAACAGTCACTTAAAAGGCATCTGTATATTTTTACTTGTAAAAATCATCCCTCTAAGAGATGGGGTAAGTGGATATGCAAAGGTAGATCCTGAACAGTCACTTAAAAACCGATCATTTGCTGTTCAACTATAGAGTGGAAGGGCACTTTGAGACTAGATTGAAGCTTTGTCAAAGCAAGATTAATATTTGAGGCATTAGAACTTCAGGTTAAAATATCTGGGGACATATAAGACTATGAAAACTTTTGGGCTTGGGTGGTTTTGTCTATAGGGAGTTGTCGTCTTGACTGATGAAAAATATTCAAAATTAAGGCTTTGGTGTTGCAGGAGCAACCTTACCTATTTCATTACTTAGATATATAGTCTGCAGTGGCACTACTTAATAACTTACCATTTAAAAAATGTGTAAAAAATTACAGTTTGGGGACAGAAAGCTATATTTATATTAATTTTTAAAAGAAACTCCAGCTCTTTTACTGGCTTCAGATAGTTGTTGCTTCAAAATAAAATTGCCTTGATCTTGACAATGAAAAGATACTTGAACTCCCAGGCACTAGGAAAATATGTTTTTAATGTCATCTATAACAAAGAAAAACTACTAAAACATTGATGGTTACTTACCACTACCCCAACACATGCCCCGTTTCCAGCTTCATTCTGACTGAAGAGCATTCATTTACTTCAGAATTAAATGCTCCAGGCTGGAAGAAAGCCTGGATGAAGCATGGTTGTTATCTGAAGCTAATAAGATATTTAACAAAAAGATACTGACAACTCAAATTTACATTTGAGGTTTTTCTTTTTCCAGTAAGAACAGTAACAAAACCATGGATATACTTTTTCAACAGAAAGGAATACTTCAAAGAGTTTTTGTTTCTGTTGAATAGAAGCCATGGTGATTTGCTGGTAGTTTTCTCTCCTTTTTGTTTTTCTTTCTTAGCCACCCTGAAACTGGTTGCTGTTGGCAAAATAGCAATCATTAATTGTGTTATTAATTATGGACTGATTTATTTTCAGATCTCGATAGAGAATGACTACCTAGGTCCCAGAAGAATTGAGAGTCTGCAAAAAGAAGATGCGGATTGGCAGAGAAAAGCCCACATGGCTGTGCTTTCTATTCAAGATCTTACAGTTAAATACTTTGAAATAACAGCTAAAACACAGAAAGGTAGTTATTTTCTACTATCCTATACATCAAATAAAAGATCTTAAAAAATTTATTTAATATTTA